GTCACACACACAAAATATGCATTAGGATCTAATGGAAGGCCATAATCATCATCAAGAAATCAATTCAGTGAACTGAACCTATTGAAGGAAGAAGGAATAAATAAACACACTGAAACAAGTTAACAGTTTGATAGAAGCCTTTATCAGTAAACATACCAGCATGGAGGAGAATTGTGAACTCCAGTCCCCATACTGCGGTTACATGAAAAACTATAAAATGTAGAAAGAGGAAAGGATGATTCAGAACAAAATAAGTTAAAATAAAAGGAAAAAAAATAGTAATAATAATAATAATAATAAAAAGAAGAAGAAATAGTAGCAATAGTATGAGTAATAGAAGTAACGATAGTAGTTGTAATAAAATTTACACTAACAATAATGCCAATAAGGATAATTATAGCAATAAGATTGAAAAACTAATAAATGAATTATAACAATAACAGGTAGAATAACAGTAGGAATCCCCCTTTATTAGCATCTTGATTCAGTTCATTTGATTAATTTCTTGATATCAGCCTGACTCCAGTCATTCCTGCTTTCAGTCATCGTCAGGTAGCAAGTCCTTTTCAGAAAGTTGCTTCCATCACAGCCCGGAGGAAAGGGAGACGTCCCTCAGCAGCATTTTCATCTCATGTGCTTTCCAGCTCAAAGTGTCCCTTTTGTTGTGTCCATCTTTGTGCTAATCAGACCCTGCCCTTGTTACCGGGTAACATGGCCTCCGCTACTGATCTTTTCAATCAACAATGGTATTTTATCAGTTTCCGAGACAGAATGCAGTTTACAAGCTAATTTTTCTTGGTGTTCAGATATTTTCGGTTGTCAGTATTTCCTGTCATCTAACATGCTAATCATCATCATCATGTAGCAGGTGCTTTGCTCTCATCACAGTCTGCCTGAAAGAAACTCAGTCTCTCACCAGTTCTCACACCTCATTTACTTTCATACTCAAGGAGTCATATCCTGTGCCCATCTTCGTGTCAGTCAGCTCCTGTCCCTCCTTCCTGGTACAATGCCTTCTGTTATAATTGTTTCCAATCCGTCATGGCACTTGATATGACCAAAATATTTCAGCTTCCGAACGCGCTAGTATTACATTGATATAACCAACAAAGAGTACTAACCCTGATGTCACAGCCTCCGTCAGCCTGAGTTCCCCTCCACATGCAACTGAGACTGCCGAGTATGTAAACGAAAATCCAGTTTCTTGATTTGATCCATCAGAAACAAAATTAGCAAACAGGAAATTGCTGGAAGTCTCCATTTTTTGTGGTTTGGAACTCCCACAGTAGCGGCCATTTGTATTAGCACTTCCATTGAGAAACAAGGGAGGAGACTGGCTTGAATATCCATTTAGCAGCTAAAGAAAAATGACAATTTTAAAGCAGAATAACTATATTTAAAAAACCTATACATTTCTACATATACAATTTATTTCTTATCTAGCGCATGGTATGAGAATATCTAGTAATTTAATTTAACCATAACACCTAGTATTAGAATGTAGATAATGTGATATATTACTCCACTTCATGTTGAAGTATTTACTGAAGTAACTTTCTGGTGTTGAAGCGGAGCAAGTACAAATTTTATAGCAAAGCAAAGATGTTGTTAACTAACTACCCCCTTAACAAAAGTATACACATTCTTTAGTATTTATGATAGTGATTAAACACCATCTGCGCATGTTCCAAGTGTTATGTCTGTGTTGAACAACAATTTCTGACAATATTCAATCATTCATAGTCCATTATTTTGGGACAGAGATAATTAATGTCTTTGAGGTTTCAAATCCAATTAATTTGTTTAAATTTGTTTCTCTTGAGGTTAAAAATAAAACTTTTAACCGGCACAGTTTGTGTGTTTAAATATGGAAATGAAATGTCTCAGAATGAATGCAGGACTGACCAGAAAAGATATAATCAGGAATGAGGTCATAAAAGAAAAGGCAGAGAAACAACTCTAAATTACATATAAAGACAACAAATCAAATGGTTTGCCCACTTAAAGAGAATGTCTTGTGATGTCATACCATATGAGATGTACTCTAAAAGAGGAGAAGGCCTCCAAGCTTAGATAGACCAAGAACAAGATGGAAAGATAACGTCAGAGACACTCTACGACAGCACGATGTGTATCTGGTGGAGGTGACCAAAGAGAAAGATGCAAAACCTGTAATCTCCCTTGACACCTAGAGCAGTAGAAAAGAAAGTGAAGAAGAAGAAAAAAGGTCCTGACTGCACTCGCATGTGGCCCTGAATCCTCAGACTCAAAACCCCTACATCCAATATTAACTCTTTCAGTCCCAACATCGTATTACATTAGATCATTCTATTCCAAACGGTTTAACTTGAAAACGAAACAATAAATCTGGGTCTGAGAAAGTTTAACAAAGTTACCATAGGGCAGAACTGGTTAAACTAATAACTCAGATAGTTAGTTGTGTATCCTTTAAAGGATGTTGCAGAAACATCCACAGCATTTTTTTGGCTGTTGTAGTTTTTCTAGACATATTCTACATTCTGTAGTTTGCCATGGCTTCTGAATGGTCAGATCTTGTTACCACTGTTGAAACCAGTGCAAGACTTGCTGCTGCCAAATTGACTGCAGCTGAGATCAAACCCGGCACCCTGGGATTATGAAGCATGTTCACAATGACTAAACCACAGGTGCAGTCTATAATTCAGATACAAAGGCTTATTAAAATATTTATCTGTTACAGCTTCTTCTTCTTCTTCTTCTTCTCTTCCACCTTGTACCTCATCGAAGTGTCGGGGGAGGGGGGGGGGGGGGGGATGTAATGTTCGTTGATGAGCTCTGTCAAGAGCACTATTAAGACTGATGTTCATTTCTGTAATGCCATCACTCCATATTTTCCTAGGTCTTCCACTCGCTGTATACCTGTGTAATGTTTTAGTGTGGCTGGCTGTGGCGGATAGTACCAGGGTATTCTTGTTAGGTGTCCAAACCACTTCATTTGTTGTTCTTTGATGACCTGTAAGACTGGCTTTATTCCTAGCATTCGTCTGATTTCATGATTTCGTATTCTGTCTTTCCTTGAAACTCCTGCAGCTCTTCTAAGGCATTTCATCTCTGTTGTCACAATTTCATTGGAGGATGTAAGTGTCCACGTTTAGCATTGATAGCATAGTGTTGGCCAAAAAATAGTTCTGATAAGATTCACTTTAGTACTCCGAGGTATCTGCTTGTGTGTCAACAGGGGAGATAGTAGACCCATTACTTGATTAGCTTTGATCTGTTACAGCAGACAGTGAAAATTACAGAATGGGTGGAAAGGTCAAGAAACATATTGTACATTTTTAATGGTACTTTTTTCTTTAAATTACTACACTTTTGCGGTGTAGGCGGGAAGGTATTTGAGCCTGGGGAAATATGACCGCACAGTTAGCGTTGTGGCCATGGACTTAGCAGGTGAGGATTTTAATATTATCCCCGACAGAAACAAATCATCAACCTTACTAAGGATTCAAACCCAGGTCCCCTACATGAGAGCCCAATGTTCTAACCATTTCGCCAGCTGTTCCTCATAGTTTGGTACTAAAAGAGTTTAATAAAACAGTGGCAAAACACAGGCAGTGAAGAGAATTTTCAGTTAAATAAGTGGGGATGTAGAGGGTGTACCAGGTACAAGGTTCATATTATTCTAAACCTTTCTACAATTCTCCAGGTCCTACTAGAAACAGATTCCCATCCAGGGTTCTGGCTAATGTAAGAACTAATTTGTGAATTCACAGTACATCTGTCTGGGGTTTGGGGGGTAGGGTAGGGGGTGGGGAGGAGGTGAAGAACCAACAGTCTGCAAAAAATAAGGCAAATCTGTCAAATGGATGTGTATACAAATCTGAGGTTCTGGTAAAAAACTATAGTCTAGAAGTTGATGAACAGCCAGGACTTTCAGCCAAAGCCTACAGCCAGTGAATGTGAGGAAGAAGAAGTTTAATAAGTACTCACCAACAAGTAATCATTGTTACACTCTCCACTATCTGCAATACTGAATTGATCTTCAAACTCCAGACGTATCGTTTTTCCTGGCAGCACTTGAACCCGCCATGTGCAGTTCTGATTGGCTGGATAGTTGCTAGGGTAACCTAAACTCTTGATGACTCCAGTTTGTGATTGCATTACACCTCCACACCCTAAATTATATTAAATATTGTGTTAATGTTTCTTTGTTTTCTTTTAAACCATAATTTTGTTTACATATCTAACATTCACGCAGCTAAATATATATATACACATATGAGGTACATAATACCCTTTTAGACATACCCATTTAGACATTTACCAATTTAAACATCTATCAATGTATGCTTCTATACATCCACACATTTAGACATCAACCCATTTACCCATTTATGCAACTACCTGTTTACAAATCTGCCAATTTATGAAACTACACGTTTACACATCTAAACACCAATCCACATGTTCACCCTTCTGTGCATCTACCCATTTATATGTTTACCAATTTATGAATCTACAAATGTATGCACGTGGTTCATCTAGGTGTGTGTAATCATGTAGTTAGGTTGTTGTCATGTAACTCACTCTGCAAATATTCTTTGTCTGGGTCTTTAGTTAAATATTCTAGGATCTCTGCGCATAAGAACCCCTATGTCTTTTCTTTACTTTCCTGTTTTTGCTGTTTAGCGGGGAGCTATTACTTTTTTTTGTCCTTATCTCCCCATCCTCTGTGTTTTTCCTTCCTTTTTCTTCCCGCTAGCACATTTGTTTATTGTAATTAGTTCTGTAGAGCTGACGTGCTTTGTGTACTTGTTTGCCAAATTTCTCTCTCTCTTTTTTTTTTTTTTTTTAACATTTTCATAGCTTTGATGCAGTCAACTGATTTGGATAACTTGATCGATGAGCAGGTTTGTACAGATAGATACCCACCTAGTTCATAAGTGAGGACAAATCCGTCTCTACGGACAGAGGAATCACTAACTTGATCAATGAGCAGGTTTGTACAGATAGATACCCACCTAGTTCATAAGTGAGGACAAATCCGTCTCTACGGACAGAGGAATCACTACGGAATGTGATGCTCAAGGTACTGCCAGTTGACTGAATGACATTAGCGGGCGGTGTGCGACCACAGTAAGTGCCACTCATTGTAGGGTAGGGAATATATCCTGTTAGAAACCAGAAAAAAACATAAAACTTCAATGGTTAAGTATAGACTAAGTCAGTTACAGCTGTAGAAGACATGAATCCTGCAAATATAAGGTCAGTGGTCACATTTACTCCAAGTCCGGTAGTACCCTAGCTGATATGGATCCTGCAAATATAAGGTCAGTGGTCACATTTACTCCAAGTCCGGTAGTACCCTAGCTGATATGGATCCTGCAAATACATGGTCAATAGTAAAAAAAAAGTAAAGGTAAAGTCGGGAGATGTGAACCAGCATCATTGCACACGGTTATAAACCATAAGTGCTCTGCCACCAGTGCGGACAGCTGATAAGAAACTGTCCGCCTGTGTCGCCGTCCACACCTAACTCTGTAACTACAGTGACGTTCCTCCATTTACCTCAGAGTGTCAACTCTGGTTCACATTTCCTAGAGGCTGGGTGAACCCCGGGAACCGCCCGGTTTCGAACACCGACCATGGCTGCAGCGAGTCGCAGCTGGATTTGAAAGTAAGCCTTGTATCGACTGCACTAACGCAGTGACCCTGGGGTCACTTGGGGTCAATGGTCAAGCTGAGGCCAAGTACAGTATATACCCTAGCTGACACGGATCTTGTAGTTGTGAGCAGGGGGGAGGGGGATGAAGACAGGGAATTCTCAGCTTCCTCATTATGCTCTAGGAGAGGGGCGTTCAAGGTGCCTGAGCATCCCAGTACTGACACCAATAGTGTTAGTGGTGAGGTACTGGTGATGATGGTGAGGTAGTGGTGATGATGGTGAGGTACTGGTGATGATGGTGAGGTACTGGTGATGATGGTGAGGTAGTGGTGATGATGGTGAGGTAGTAGTGATGATGGTGAGGTAGTGATGATGGTGAGGTAGTGGTGATGATGGTGAGGTAGTGGTGATGATGGTGAGGTAGTGGTGATGATGGTGAGGTACTGGTGATGATGGTGAGGTAGTGGTGATGATGGCGAGGTAGTGGTGATGATGGCGAGGTAGTGGTGATGATGGTGAGGTAGTGGTGATGATGGTGAGGTAGTGGTGATGATGGTGAGGTAGTGGTGATGGTGAGATAGTGGTGATGATGGTGAGGTAGTGATGATGGTGAGGTAGTGGGGATGATGAGGTAGTGGTAAGATAGTGATGATGATGATGGTGAGGTACAGGTGGGATAGTGATGATGATGATGATGGTGGTGAGGTAGTGGTAATGATGGTGAGATACTGGAGGACAGTGGGGGAGTGGTGATGATGGTTAGGTAGTGGTGAGATAGTGATGATGATGAGGTAATTGGTATGATGGTGAGGTAGTGGTGAGATAGTGATGATGATGATGGTGAGGTAGTGGTAATGATGGTGAGGTACTGGATGACAGTGGGGGAGTGGTGATGATGATGAGGGAGTGGTGATGATGATGAGGTAGTGGTGATGATGGTAAGGCACTGTTGATGATGGTAAGGTGGTGGTGATGGCGGTGAAGTAGTGGTGATGATGATGAGGCACTGGTGATGATGGTGATGTATTAGTGATAATGGTGAAGTAGTGGTGATGATGGTAAAGTAATGGTGATGACAGTGAGGTAGTTTTGTTGATGGTTAGGTAGTTGTGATGATGGTGAGGTAGTAGTGATGACAGTGAGGTAGTGATGGTTATGGTTAGGTAATGGTGATGATGGTGAGGTACTGGTGATGATGATAAGGTATTGGTGATGATAGTTAGGTAATGGTGATGATGATGAGGTATTGGTAAGGATAGTGAGGTACTGGTGATGAGATAAAGGTGATGATGGTGTGGAAGTGGTAATGATGGTGATGTAGTGGTGATGATGGTGAATAAGTGGTAATGATGGTGATGTAGTGGTGATGATGGTGAAGAAGTGGTAATGATGGTGATGTAGTGGTGATGATGGTGTGGAAGTGGTAATGATGGTGATGTAGTGGTGATGATGGTGTGGAAGTGGTAATGATGGTGATGTAGTGGTGATGATGGTGAAAAAGTGGTGATGATGGTGAGGTTGTGGTGAGGATGATGAGGTACTGGTGATGATGGTGGAGTAATGGTGATGATAGTGAGTTAGTGGTGATGATGGTGAGGTAGTGGTGATGATGGTGAGGTTATGGTGATGATGATGAGTTAATGGTGATTATGGTGAGGTAATGGTCATGATGATGTAGTGGTGATAATGGTGAGGTAATTGTGATGATGGTGAGGTAGTGGTGATGGTGGTGAGGTAATGGTGAGGTAATTAATTCTGGATTAGGTAAGCAAGGTATGAGAGCACAGCGGTAGACTAAGAACAAGATGCGAAAGATGTGAAGACCAAGTGAAAAAGCATAATGGTGATGATGATTAGGTAGTGGTGATGATGGTGAGGTAGTGGTGATGATGATGAGGTAGTGGTGATGATGAGTTTATTAAGGTGAGATAATAGTGATTATAGTAGGAGTGTCTGCGGTTTGTTAGTGATGTTAATAGTGGTGGTATTAGTAACAAAAGAAGTAGAAAATGTGTTTAAATAATACAATATTTACATACTAGGTTGTAGCAATGATGTTTTCAAAACATTCAGTAACCAACACTATTTTTGTTGTAAATGACATCAATAGCAGTCACTTACCATCTTGAATTCGAAGGTAATCAAAGTAACAGCGACCATGAAATTCAAGGTCAATACTGGTAATATTCACAATTATTGTGTGTCCTTCAGGTGCAGATACAGTCCAGACACAGTTGATGTTGTCTGGATATCGCTCTGGGTATCCGGGAGAGGTGATATTCTGTTGTATGTCTGTAGCAATGAGATACCCGCCACACCCTGGTAATAGTGACAGAAAAATATACATTAAAGAAACAAAACAAATACTGAAAATGTAAATAAAATGTAAATGAAAATCATACACTGTAAAAAAATTTGGAGTGTAGACAGTAAGTGTTTTTATTTGTGTGGGATGTTACAAGAAGGAATGAAAGCTGAGAATCTGTGAAGAAACACATTAAATACATGTGATACCAACAATAGTCCTGAGATCCCAAGCTCTGATTCTGAAAGACTTTTCCTAACAAGGGTGGTCATGCTAGTCACATTCACCATTGCCATGGGCTGTGAGCCCCTGTAACACAATATAATACTCATCTGGACAGACGAAAATGTGCCCAGGACCACACGGGAAGGAATGTGCCCAGGACCACACGGGAAGGAATGTGCCCAGGACCACACGAAAAGGAATGTGCCCAGGACCACACGGGAAGGAAGGTGCCCAGGACCACATGAGAAGGAAGGTGAACAGGACCACATGAGAAGGAAGGTGTCCAGGACCACATGAAAAGGAATGTGCCCAGTACCACTTGAGAAGGAATGTGCCTAGGACCACATGAGAAGGAATGTGCCCAGGACCACATGAGAAGGAATGTGCCCAGTACCACATGAGAAGGAATGTGTCCAGGACCACATGAGAAGGAATGTGCCCAGAACCACATGAAAAGAATGTGACCAGTACCACATGAGAAGGAAGGGGCCCAGGACCACATGAGAAGGAATGTGCCCAGGACCACATGAGAAGGAATGTGCCCAGGACCACATGAGAAGGAATGTGTCTACTACCACATGAGAAGAAATGTGCCCAGGACCACATGAGAAGGAATGTGCCCAGGACCACATGAGAAATATGGACTCAAGACCTTAATAACAAGACTGGTGGCAAGAGAGCTTGGCGATATAGACGGGCCAGACAAGAACGCTGACCTGATCAATGATAGTGTGAGGTAGCATAACATGATAGCCTATGCTTTTTTTGTGTGTGGTCATAGCACATAATGATGAGGAGTAACTAGGGGATCTGGGGACACTTATCATTCAAGAAAGAGGTGCAACGGAGATACAATCAGACTGTTACGGGTACTAGCAGAACTGAATTTTAGTGCTTGATGCTGAATTTGGGGACGGAAAGCTTATGGAAACAACTTGATTGCAATTATATCTGTTCTTAACTCATAACTCCAAACACTCGCCATTGACATGGGCTGTCATTTGCAGGCTTTCTTACAGCACAATATAAAACAAAAAAGTGCCAGCTAGTTGTCAGATTAACTCTTTGAGTCCCTAGGAACGCATCATACATTCACATGTTCCTGCCTAGAAGCCTAATGAATGCACAATACGCTGATTTTATGACTCTTTTTACTACCCCCTGGGCCTGTGGTGCTAAACCCCCTGGGACTCAAAGAGTTAAATTTGTGATTTTTTCTTTTCTGGTGTTTTTGTTGAACTGCTGTTGCTCTTCTTTTCAGCCACTCCTATGCATTGTATAGTACATTGATGTACCCTCCTATGCATTGTATAGTACATTGATGTACCCTCCTATGCATTGTATAGTACATTGATGTACCCTCCTATGCATTGTATAGTACATTGATGTACCCTCCTATGCATTGTATAGTACATTGATGTACCCTCCTATGCATTGTATAGTACATTGATGTACCCTCCTATGCATTGTATAGTACATTGATGTACCCTCCTATGCATTGTATAGTACATTGATGTACCCTCCTATGCATTGTATAGTACATTGATGTACCCTCCTATGCATTGTATAGTACATTGATGTACCCTCCTATGCATTGTATAGTACATTGATGTACCCTCCTATGCATTGTATAGTACATTGATGTACCCTCCTATGCATTGTATAGTACATTGATGTACACTTATTACTGATGTTTACTAAAAGAAAGCAAGCAACAGACAGGTCTAGAGAACTGGATGAAAAGATTAAACAGTACATCACAAGAACAAAGATTAACAAAAGTGGCTTGAGTAGCAAGTAGATACAAGAAGTATCATAGATCACTATAATTTACTAAGTTTTTGTAAAGTACACTTCAAGTAAATTAAATTAAACGAAGCAATCTCTACTCCTAAAATATGTTACAATTTGTACATAAAGCTATGCAATATCAAATTACAAAACATAATTG